TCCATGTTTTAAAGAAAAATCTTGGACCTTTAGATAAAAAGGGGACCAAAAAGTGGACCTTTGAGCCTTGTGGGGGTGTTCTTCCGAATCCCCTCCCCTGGCTACGGGCATGGACATTCGTGGAACAAAAATGTGGAAAATCATGACAGAAAAACGTTGTTGGAAGGACACTGGCCTGATTTTTAGGGTACCACTCTGAAAATATAGGACTCATCTTAGGACTTGTTTACGCAGTTTTAAATGCCCAAGGTATGAAATACTGATTCAAATTTTCTAATGTGGGGCAGTATGTGTCAACATCATAGAAATATTGCCTTGTTCAGAATATTTCCAGTTTTGCCACCCAGAAATTGCATTGGATGCCTTTAAGACAAGTCTTCACTCGTGATTTATAGACATATACATTGTTGTTGTTTGCTTCTTATGTTGTTATTTTGTTTTAGTCACCAAGGGTTGGCTTTCTTACCTCAGGCTACTTTACTTCAAGTTTCAAGTTTATTTATTTTACCAGGGCATACCTCAGATCCATTTATCTGTTTTTCAGGTATCCCTTGGCGCATACATTCATAAAAATTACAATTAGTTGAACACAACAATATACAACTAAGAGTAATTGCTTTTTGGAATATACAACTAACATTACAAACATGTACATGTACAAAGCAGTCACAGTATAGGCACATTTAGGCGCTAGTATAGGCACTAGCTACGCTACTTAATTAGATGAGTATGTTGTTTGTGCATTTTCCTCTTGTTTATTTGTTTACCTGTTTCCATGGAAACGTAGGTGGCTCCACCACGTGTAGTCTCGAATGACAGGCGCCCTAGATTTCTGTGACTGGTGGTAACAGAGCGTCGTGTTTTGAAAATACCGCTGCGACACGAAAACAAGCCAGAAATGTTACTCTCCAAGCAGAGGTTGTGGGGGAGTGATCGTTACCTTTTTATTTTATATATGGCCGTTTTTTGTGGCTACCTCCACCCGTCGGTGGCCGCGGACCTTCTCTGGCTAATGGATACTGCCTGGCCAATTTGATGCTGTCTTTTTGCCACCGATAGGGATCTTTTTTTTTTAGGGAGCGGTCTTTTTTTGAGGGGGGGGGGCTTATTTGTAACTTGCACGATTTTCTGATCAAACGTAGATCGCACGTAGTAGTCGCCAACCTTAGAAAAAAATGGCATTCAAGGGTTGGTGGCCAAAGGTTCTAATGCGTACGATCTACATTTGAACAGAAAATCGTATTAAAGTTGCAAATAAGCGCCCCCCCCCCAAAAAAAAAAGCCAACCGCTCCAGGAACGCATGAAAAGGAGGCTATTAGAAATGACCAGAACGCTAGCCATGCAAGGCGCCACAGTAGTCAGACCACATCTTATAAGATGATCTCGGAATGCCCAGTAAGGCCACAGTAAGTAAATTTTATGGATGACATCCTCCGCAGAATCCAAATCTAATGCGAGCGGGCGAAAAAAATCAGGCGGGTCAAAAAAACAATATTCCTATGTTTTCAAATTTTGACATCATAAACCCTGTTAAACAAGAAATGATACCTGTATTGTGCTACGTTTTCTGCCAACTATTACAACATCCATTTGTCACTGAAACAACTTTGAAAAAGGAAAGTTTTCAATCATCGTAGAAATGGTTTCGATTCAGTGGGAACATATAAAAGGAATAAAAGTCAAAACAATAAATCAGAGCCTCCTCTCTTCATGTTTATCTTCCATCCACTTTCCAGCATGGCATGCCGTTTTGCCCATTTTCGGCATGTTGACCACTGTTAAAGGGCAATCAAAATTTTTTTTCCCCAAATCAGGCGAAAATGTATGCGCGCGCTGATGTCATCCATAAAAATTACTTGCTGTGGCCTAACAATACATGGTGTTTATGGGTAACATTTCGCCAGGCGCCAACATACAAGTGAGCCCAGGTCAAGCCGTTATAGAATGTCGTAGTTAGCAGCTACAATTTTTCTTAAAAGCGTCCAATGTTAATTTCAGGGCGGCAATACAAGAAATATTCTGGACTAGGAAATCCGTCTGATAGTGATATTTACCGTCATTTCATAGCACCTTTTCGTCATCATTTCATGAAGCGTTTGAAACATCAGAAAATAAACTACTTGAGGACTCCCTTTATTTTTGGGACCACCAATAAATATTAGTAGCTAGAACCAGCCCACGAGACGAAACATGGAACCGTTTTCCATCTTATATCGCATTTGTGCCCCACAGATATAAGTATGTTATGGAATAAAGTTAACTTTACATTGATTTCCTGCATTAAAATAATAAAAAAAATGGCTTTGAAAATCCAGTCTTACTGCCATGAAATCGCTTTGGGTGCCTCTATCTGCAAAATTACATTGTTGATTTAGCAAAGATAGAATGACAAACAAACGTTCCTGCAGTTCCAGAGCAAGCCGCTAGGGGGCCCAAACTCACGTCACTTCTTCCCCAGTACAAGAGCTACTCATCAATCAAATGTCAAATGTCATGTCCATAGCATGTCTGGATCATGAGATATCAAAACCAGAAGTTCCACAACAGTACCATAAGAAGCTGCTAGGGGGTCCAAAATCTAATCATTTGCAGGTCTCATCAAGACCTACCCACCTACCAAATATCAAGTCAATCCATTAAAGCCTTCTTAAGTTATCGTGTTTCCAAACACACACACACACACACGAACGCCTCTGAAAACATAACCCTCTTAGCGAAGGTAATAAAGCTAGCATACATGGACCATCTTTCAGCATTTCTTAATTAACCATTATAACAGAATGATTTTGTAGTACTGACAGAGAGCTCAGTTTCTTATGTAGTCCTACCATGCGTCAGAGATACCGAGCGAGTTTTTCGGGTCGCTGCGTTTATTTGGAGCCGGTTTTTCCCACGCCACTTGTGACTCACACGGCTAGGTGCGTACAGCTTAGCTCGAGGACAGGTCTACAGCATTTAAACCACCACAATAGATACACGTACTTGTACCTGTAGTCGTGTCGTTGTTTTGTAAAAGCTAGTACTGGGGCATAAAATATAACGCACGAGGGCTCTACTTACGAAGTATACTATTTGAAGGTACTCAGAGTGATTTCAGGGCAGCAAACCTGGATCTTCAAAGTCAACTTTCTGGTCATTTTTATAATATAGTAAGTTGAATCGACCCTATTCAATGGCATACAAATACCTGTAAGGCATAAATGCGATATCGCTGACGAAAACAGTTGCTTGTTTCGCATCGTAGGCTGGCTCCATATATTGGTGGTACCAAAAATAATGGGAGTCTTCAAGTAGCTTGGTATTGGCCTATTTTGAAGTATGAAATGATGACACATGTATGCGTCAAGAAATTGTAATAAATGTCAATATTACACAGATTCCCTCATCCGGAATATTTTTTGTTCTGCCACGTACCCTGAAATTGCATTGGATGAACAGTCGCACCCATCCCTTCCTTAAATATCCTGAAAAGAGAGAAAAAACTTTTCATATCACAAACGTATTCTCTCCTATGTTTAGCAGAAGAAAAACTGACGCGTCCTATTTAAAAAAAACACCAGAAGACCTCGATCGTGCCCATGATGTCACTAAGTTGTTTTTAGGCAAGTTTTTTTTTTATGTCTAAGGCCACACCAAGTAAATTTTATGGATGACGTCCGCGCGCGCATTGATTTTGGTCTGTTCCTGGAAAAAAAAAACAAGAAATTCCCTTCCTGTAACTATGACCAAAGAGTCACGACAGTGCCGCAAATCGTCAGATTGATGTGATACCCGTAACGAGAAAACAGGACAGGACGACAACTGCTGTTCCATCTGATTTATTGCTGTTTTGATGATGAATAAAAGACTTCTTGTTTGTTAGACTGTGTCACCTCACTCAATTTGTGTCCTAACATTTGTCGTCTCTTAGTATATTTCTAATCTAGGCATCTTGTTTTTCAGGGCCCTTCTTGTTTTTTTTCGCCCTCTCGCATTAGATTTAGGGTCTCCAAAGGACGTCATCCATAAAATTTACTTGGTGTGGCCTAAACTCCTGAGGGGAAATGTTTGGCAAAGTAAAAGTTTATAAAGGAAGTGACGCGGGTTGGATAAGGGACAGAAAGCAGACTTGATCCATGTCTTAGGCTGGGTTGCCCGAGTCTAAGCCACGGATGGTCGATCTGAAATATTTGGCATTGCACGTAGATCTAAGGTCAGTCATACCATGGGTTCTTGTGCGGTGACTAGCTAGAGCAGGGTTTGGTTAGCCTCTACCAGGCTTCGGGAGGCGGCGGAAAAGAGCAGAAGCTGGCCAAATAGAGAGATAACATGCCAGGGGAGTTGGTCCGCTAGATATTTTAAAAACTGTACTCTCTAGCGGACAAATTCCCCTGGCATGTTATCTCTTTATTTAGCAACTTCTACTCTTTTCAGCCGCCTCCCGAGGCCTGGTAGAGACTAGCTAGAGGGTTTGGTGGCAGGTGTTGTTTACCTGCCCATACGAAGAAATGAAACGGTATACATGACTGAGACCTAAACCAGCTCAGAAAAGAACAAACAAGTAGTCATACATTCAAGTACCAGAGTTATCAACCAAGGACTGAGGTGTATAAAAAAGCCTTTTCTCCCTTTATATACATATCATGAAAGTTCATCTGTGTTGAATTGGTACAAGTCATTATGAAATAAAAACTGAGCTTTAACTTCCAACACACTTAGACTACAAAATTGAGACTTATCCCAAATTTTCGGTTGACTCCATCAACCTTGTTCACGAAATGGACGCGTCTACTCTTGGAACGAGACACGTGACCGTAGTAGCGTATGTGCCATATAACTTGTGTCGCCCCCCGTCTCTGTTCAGGGTAGGTCTGTGAGCTCTTTTGTAGACCGCCTCCTTAACTCCTCTTGCAAGAAGGTTTAAAGAGGGTTATAATGAATCTTAAACATGTCGTACGTACTGTAACCAACGTTACCCTAGCTACATGAGAGTAATCGGAGGTACTGTTTTACTTGACAGTTTTACAGGACGAGAATGCTGCCCTGAAGTCTACAATCGCGCAGCAGCAGCGGAAACTGGACAAACTTGAAGGTAAGGAGAAGTCCACTAGTCTTCTAATCTACTTCAATGTCAATTGAATGACACGCGAAAGAAAAAGTCGATTTTCCTTATATAATTATGCATAAAAATTCTATAGCTAGGTGGGTTTTTACTCAATAAGGCCACAGCAAGTAAATTTTATAGATGACATCCTCCGCAGACTCCAAATCTAATGCGAGCGGGCGAAAAAAAACAAGGCGGGCCGAAAAAAGCAAGGTTTCTACATTTTAAAATGTTCACCTTAATCATTGTACAAATGGTTTTGATTCAGTGGGAACATCACATATACACAGCCAGCATCGCATATCACTACATTAAAGAAACAAAACATTAAATCAGAGCCTTTTCTTGTCTCCTCTCTTCATAGTTATCTGTCATCCATCTTCCGGCATGGCAACAGACGTCTTTGCCCATTTTCGGCATGGTGGCCACTGTCAGAAGGCAACAAAATTTCTTGTTTTTTCCCCCAAAATCAGGCGAAAGTTAATGCGCGCTGATATCATCCATAAAAATTACTTGCTGTGGCCTAACTGATCATTTGGAGATCATTCGGTGCTGTTGCAAGTTTAACACTTTCGTTTGTTCCGTATCTGCTTATCTTCAGAGCATGTCTCTAAACTTTACAAGATGTTCAACGGATGTCGCTGTGAAGATGAAAACACGGGATCCTCGGACCCAGAATCTACCACCGCTGGCGACAGTCCTGTTACGCCACCTACCGGAAGTAGTCGACCTAGCAACCTCCTGTCAACCCAAGGGAAAGAAGGCGTACAGCAGGATGAGTCGGATTCAAAGGGCGATACTTCGGAAGAGCCACTATCACAGAATCCTCAAGATGTGGAACCAACAACTAGATCTACACCTGTAAGGGCTACAACTATGTCCAAACTACTAACGACAACAGAAGGTACGTTACCTCAGAAAATAGTTTTTTTTTCAGGATGGTAAAGTATAGGATACAGGTGTTTTCTTTTACACAACCAACTATTCTCACCTAAAGTGCTGACGTTTCAAAAGCGCCACCTACCGATAGCGGCGAAAAGCAGAACTCCAGTCAGAAGCTCTGAGGAAGGTGTCTGATAGACACCGAAACGTCCGACACTATAGGTGAGAAAATTTGTTGTGTAAAAGAAAACTATTGTATCCAGAAGGCACGTCAGTTTTCCTTGCATTTGTAATTGGCCTCCAATGCAATTTGCGGATAGCCTGGGTGCCATCCCCCGTAGTATTCGCCCGCTCTACGTCGCTAGCTTACCACTGGAAGCAAGCGACATTAGGGAGCGGGCGAATACTACGGGGGATGGCACCCAGGCTAATTTCAGGGTGGCAAAACTGGATTTTCAAAGTCAATTTTCTGGTCATTCTTTTAATGTTGTACATTGAATTGGAATTAACCCTATCCCATAGCATACTGATATCTGTGAGACAAAAATGCAATGTCACTGACAGCTCGAAAACAGTTGCATGTTTTGTATCATAGGCTGGTTCTATATATTAATGGGTGGTACCCAAAAGATATTGAAACGCCTCACGTAACTTGTTTTGGGGCTATTTCATACGCTTTAAGTATAAAATGATGACGAAAATCTGCTACAAAATGGCAGTTTATGTCAATATCAGACAGTTTCCTCATCCAGAATATTTGATATTCTTTTGCAGTTTCCCGCCTTGAAATGCGTTGAATGCAACATGGCCGTTCTATGGCAATTGTTGCAGTTTACAAAAGGGTTGTTTTTGGGAGATTAAACATAAAAGGTATAAAATGAGAAAAAACACATCAAGGGGTACAAAGACCCATAACAATGTGACGTAACTACCGTTGTCGTGAAGAAAATCCAACTCACCAGAAATTAACTCACCAGAAATCTTCGACTGAATCGCTCAGTCTTCGTCAGCTTTATGACCCAAGTGCTGTGGACACGTGACTTTTAGCCACGTGTGACGTCAGCACTGGGTTAAAGTTCGTCGGAAGTCGGTACCGCCCCCCCCCCCCGTCACGAGTGAAGGTTGGTATGCTCTGATGTAGATGGCTTCTTTCACCCCCCTCGCACAGTAATCCCGTTGTGTGTTGTCGTTGACGCTCGTTCTTCCCTATCCCACAGACAAGCCCCAGGTCCCGCGTGCTATGGACTGTGCCGAGTTGTACCACAGCGGCCTGCGGCTGGACGGTATCTACTCCATCACCGCCCAACTCGGAAGGGAACGCCGCTCCATGGACGTCTTCTGCGACATGACCACGGCAGGAGGAGGCTGGACGGTCATTCAGCGACGCCTGGACGGCTCCGTCATGTTCAATAGGACCTGGCACCAGTACAAACGCCGCTTCGGCAAAATCCGCGGCGAGTACTGGCTCGGTTTGGACAACATGTACTTCCTGACGAACCAGAGAAACTATACCCTGCGGATTGATATGGAAGATTGGGAAGGAAACAGTGCATACGCGCGGTATGATATCTTCAGAGTGGGCGGTGAGTGGGCCTACTACCAGCTGTCCATTGGGAACTACAGCGGGACGGCAGGCGACAGTTTCAACGGGCACAACGGCGTCAAGTTTTCCACCGTAGACCAGGACAATGACGAGAAGGAGGACCACAACTGCGCCAGGGGGAGGGGCGACGGCTGGTGGCACTGCGGCTGCACCCCCCGCTGGACGCCCTTCGGCAGCTGCAGCATGGATAGTTTCGAGTGTGGAGGTGCCTTCATCAACGGAAAGTACCTCGGAAACTGTAAGGATCGGGAGGACTGGAGATCAGAGTTCTACGGACAGACGTGTTGCGGTTTAGACGACTGTTGTGGATGGTTAGAGGGTGTGGTCTGGTACAGATGGAAGAAGGCCGTCTCTCTGAAGTCGGTATCCATGAAAATCAGGCCCAGAGACTTCAAAATGGAATTAGAGCTTCCATAAGCAATACAACAACCGAAAAATATAATACAGTACAAAACCAAATACGTAACAAAAGTACCAAGTATTTAACACAACATTCATGTTACAGATTTGCAGTAGAAAGTATACGCATAAAGCTGGGTTATATACATGTATATTATATCTTTTTCGGTAAGAAAACGTATATGCCTGTTATCACAAAACGTGCTGGAGTTTTAAACCCCGGGCAGGGTACTGGTAATATGACAATATGATAAAATGGACCAATACGTAACGCAGCTGTAAGTTTAGTGCAAAATAAAGCACCTAACCAAATAATCAACAAAAGGTACCCGATTTGTAGTTTTGGGCTATAGTTGTCTGTGTGGAATTCATACTGTAGTATGTATTCATATTAAGCTGCATGGGTTATTTCTCATAGATGCGTCGGACATAGTTACAAGTAATTTTTTAGGAGAACCGTAACATTACTACACAATACCGCACTAGCCTGGAGCAAACCAGACGCCATATACATTAACTATGCAAATCGAGGTAAAACACAACCAGTGAGGTCGTGTGGCGTGTGAAGTGCTCGACTCGGAACCAAGAGGTTCCGGGTTCAAGTCCTGACATGCCACCAATCTTGTGCCCTTGGGAAAGGCACTTTACACGACCTTCCTCACTTAGCTCAAGTGAAAATCAGTATTGTCCTGTCCTGTATTTGTACTCTGCGGCATAAAATAAGTTGATATAACTTGAGTGTGCCGTCGCCACGTTTGGCCAAGAAATGTTGGAATAAAAAAAAACTGTACAGACAGATGCATGAAGAACTTGATTGCGCGACAATTGCACATGGTACAAAGTATTTAAAAAGACGAAATGGAGTATGGAATAAGATCTAATATAGAATAAAACCTAATATATCTTAATAGCTTTGATGATATAAATGTATCGTAATGGTTTGATTTTCATCGTACTGTGTAGTACTGTGTAGTAGAACAGTCTAAAATACTTGAGTCAGGCTGTTACATCTTGTCAGATTGTGACAAGCTAAAGACATTGTAGCTGTAAATACTTCACCGGTGTACTAATCTATATAGAATAAGACTTCACTCATTATTCTAGATTATTGCACGTAGGCTAGCGACGTTTTTAATTAATAAAATGTAACGTTATAGTTCTATTAAATTATAGCCTGGTATCCAGCCTTGTTAGCTTTAGTCCGCTACCCAACAAGAGGAGCGGATCTTGGGTAGCGGACTAAAGCTAACAAGGCTGGATACCAGGCTAATTAAATTATGGTGTGCATGTTTGTATAGTTTATATTAACTAAAATAGTTACTGCTTCAATGAAGTATGGTGATCTGTATTGCTGTAAATGTTTTAGCCATTTTTCTTTTATATTTGTGGCAAACTTGTATCTTCGTTTTCATAAAGGTTGTTTGATATTTTGTTACAGAAAATGCGTTGCTTGTTTCTTTCGTGGATTGTGAGACAAGTAAGTTGTGAATTGGACAAGCAAAGCGATTTTAAGTCCTGTCATTATAAATCTGAGACAGTCAATGACTCAAAGTCGCGGTGAATCTAGATCTAGTAGGAATATGTTGCAGGTAATCCTAATTTTTCCTTCCTCTTTAACATGCTACCACTAATTCTTATCTTAGATATTTGGTGCTGTCGTCATCATCAGACAAATAAGACGAGTCACGTACGCGTCATTTCCTGCACATCTAGCCAATTCACATCCCCAGGATGCATTGCGAAAACAGGGGTCAAACCAGGAAGGCATCGGAATGATCCTGTTGACGTTAAACAGCTTGGTTTTCACTGTGTTTTGAGGTGTCGGAGCATTTTATGACAACAAATTGAGTATGAAGTTTTTGTGTTCTTTTTAACTTGGAATATGTGGTTTGTAACGTTACAGCATCAGTATAGCGTTACCACTATAACGTTACAAACCACATATTAAAAAAAAAATTATTCTCTATTTGTTGTCAGATTCAACCCATAGCAATTTGATTAACGTTGAGCATAAAATGCTCCGACACCTCAAAACACAGTGAAAACCAAGCTGTTTAACGTTAACAGGATCATTCCGATGCCTTCCTGTCCTATGCAAATGAAGATTAGACCCCTGTTTTCGCAATGCATCCTAGGGATGGGAATATATAAACTAACGCGGAATCGCACAGAGCTTAAAAGGATGCGGGGTCAACGACAGACGAAAGAGGCCGTCAGTGGTTGGAGTAGGAGCGCCCTCTGGCGACATGAAGGTGAAGGACTGCAGCAGGGTCGAGAAGAACAGGAACAGCTCCATCCTGGCCAGCTGCTCACCAAGACAGGCACGTCGGCCTGGAAATACAAAATGCTGACTTATAACCAGCCACTGTCAAATAGAAAGTATATATTCTTACTTTCTTATAATGATATCAATAACTCTTAGCCTCCTTCGCAGTCTTGTTGGGCGTCGGCGTTATTTTTTCTCTGAGCGACGCGAGTAAAATATGCCGCCGCGAGGGACGATTTGCTGCCGAGGGAGTTTTTCCCACGGAGAGGTTTCCGTGGCAAAAACTCCAACAAGACGCCCAACAAGATGCGAAGGAGGCTAAATAACTCTTACCTCCCCCAAAAGGCATGAAGGAGTCAGGCTTGTTGATGACGTTCCCTTCCGCGTCCAGAAACCTTCCGGGGTCAAACCGGTCCGGATCAGGCCAGTAGGCGGGGTCCATGTGGAGGGAGTACAGGTTCAGTAGAACCTGGAATAGAAATGGCGTCATTGGTGAAAATCCAAGATGGCGGACCATATTACTAGCTTTGGTGTAACCAAGGCTCAAACAAACAAACAAATGTTGTTTTAAACTTTACTTTCATCATAACGTATTTTTTCACATTAAACGTTCATATAAACATCGTTGGTCCATTCGCATTGTGTTTTAGGCTGTATGTTGAAAAAATCTAAGTTTAAAAATTCAAGATTGACGATCTAAGATATCGATGGCGGATAGCTTCAATATGCATGACGTAATTTTACGACCAAACTATCCTCTGAAACTTTGGTTTTCATACGATTAGTAGTTATTGAGTTACATGGGGCGGGCCTCAAATGCCCCCTTCGGTCCCATGACAAAAAAAAACGGTCTGAATATGGTTAAAAGGATTCTGAACGGATAAATCTTAGTCATTTGGCCACTTTTATGCATTTTTACAACGTTAGAAAAAGAACTTGTGACCTTATGAACGGCAACAATACCTTCATGAAAGTTCATCTGTGTTGGTAGTTATTACATGTTTAAAGTTAAAACTTTTGGTCCAACAAGCCAGGTTCCAAGAACATACACGGCCAAGCTCTGCCAGTTCAGAGGTGTCACAACGCATCCACATAGAGCCACCCGGACCTTTTGTTTCACTTGACACTGTAAGGATTTTAGACACTGAACTAGACTATTTCTTGAGAGGTGTGAAGGAAGCCATATACATCAGGGCCCACCACCCTTCATTGAACCGCGACGGGGGCCGACATCGTCTACCAGATACCTTTGACCCAGTGTTGACGTCACTCTTCAAAGAAGCCACGTCAGTCTACTGAGGAAGACCAGAGTGACTGGTCGAAAGCTCTAGGTGAATTTTTTGTGTTGGACCAAAGGTTTTAACTTTAAACAAGCAACAATACCTGGGTTCCCTTAGGGATGACATATTCCAGCACTTTGACCGACTCCGTGGTGGCGTGGTGAACAACAGGTGCGAGGGACCGGATCCTTATGACCTCCAGCAGACAGGCGTTCACGTAGGGCAGCTGGGAACGGTGGGACAGGGTGGGTAGACCCTCACCAACAACGGCATCAAGCTCCTGCTGCACCTGTTAAAGGTACTGTACATTGTATTGAAGTCAGTCTTAAAGACCAAATGACACCAAAAAAAGTCATACATACAAATATAAAGTCACTGGAAGTTTGTTCCAATCATGATGACTGAGAAATTGACCTTGTACGGCCTTCTAAAAGTGGACTCTCTAGCAAGCTTTCCAATTGCTCACTTCAGGCATCTCTATTTGCATCTCTGTTTTATTTGGGATTTCTGTGCTTTTTCCTGAACTGACATCAGCTCAGGAAAAAAAAATACAGATATGCAAAAATAAAATGTAGAGATGCAAATCGCCTGTCAGGACTGGCTTGTGCTGACGTTTCCAAGGTAGGGCATTAAAATTTGGAATGTAACAGGAGAACCGTGCATATTTATTGTAAATGGGTCTGTTAGCCAGGTATTACTAGTTATGTCAATTACTATCAGTTAAGGTCATATTTTTGTGTCATGCGAACTGAGACATGAGACATGGTAATTTGCCCTACAAGTCACAATGAATGCTAGGTAGCCAGTAGGGAATCATCGTGAAAGAAAGGGAACATGCAGTTCAGAAAGAAGGACAGAGGCCTACATTTTAAGTGATCTTTGGGCCACACCAATTTAATTTCTTGGTTAACGGATTCGCCCGCTTCATTGGTTTTTCTGATTTGCAAAAAAAAAAAAAAAATAAATTCAGAATCAACTGCAAAATGCTCATATTTTGCCGGCCCTGAACAGTTAAAAACAGTCATTTTCTTCCTAGTTGTTAAAGTTAGTCCATCTTTCAATGCAGTGGTATCATTAAATGTTTAAAATTCATTGCTTAAATTTTGAACCAGCCTGGTGTGTTGACTTCATGACTCCTATCGTACCATTTTGGGCCATAATAGGATGCCTAGGCCTGTTTTTATTTTTTTCGCCCGCCTGCTCCATTATTTTTCTAGAAAAATCCGTTACCAACGAAATTACATTGGTGTGGCCTCAGCAGGCTTTACGTTGTCTGACATAAACCCACAGCGTAGAATATGAGGGAAACCAGAGCCTACTTTATTTTGGATGTCCGGGTTCAAAATCATATAGAGCAGACCCCACAGCAGTGTGTTGGTGGTTGTTTCTATTCCCGCAAAGAAGAGGTCCTGGGCCATGTACATGACGTTCTCCTCCGTCAGACCCTCCACCTTCTCCTGCTTCTCAACCTCCAGCAGGCAGAAGTCCAGGAAGTCTCGCGGGTTCTCGCGATCCAGGTTCTCGCGATGGCGAGATATCTCCTGTCTCAGCACATTTTGGATCTTGAAGTTTTCTTTTGACGCATTGATGCCGGCTCTATTCACTGTAAAGCACCCGGGGAATAGTCACACAAAAATACAGTTTGGGGCCTGCAAAATCACTCACTAAATTCCCTCGTATCAATGACCAATGCCATATTTACAAGACCTTCATAGTAATGTTATTCAAAGGGTAATTTTACCCAATTATTATTATTATTTATTGGTTTATTTGTATCAACAACATATCTCGCAGCCTTGACATACAGGGCTGAATTCTGATGTTTGTTTACAATATAAATCATTAATAGTAGGGAAATACAAATTACAATCATATCGGAATCTACAGATTGATATAATATCACTCTGGTTCAACGAATTTAGATATTTACATTAATGTCTTATATCACACAAGTTTTAACATACATGAAAAAGAATAGTCATCATAAATAAATAAATCATCATCATAAATCAATTCCTGTGTCACAATAAAGTAGCGGTCAGTGGAACTTGTGATGCTATTCTTTACGTATTTGTCCTGTTTAGAAAGGATACCATGCAAGGGATTGGGCTTTTTTTGTATCTGTCAGTCCTGGTTGTGATAGTGTCTATAGTATGAGCTAATTACAAATGTATGTTAGCTTATATGATCTATAAAAAAACATTCAAGTAGTCTACCTACCGACGGGAATAAACTGTAGAAAAGGGAAGACGCTGATGATGCTTCCAGCTGCAAGTTCTGCCATGATCGCGGCAACCGCCTCTGAAAGTTCCCGGAACGTCTCGTCCTTATAGTCGTACCGCTTCCCCATCACCATGGAACAGATGACGTTTGCAACTGTCACTGTGACGTCATGAGCGATGTCAAAAGGCTTTCCATTGTATTCTGCAATCTGAACACAATAATTTGTACATCTGCAAAACCATTCACCAGTTTCCCATCCCCAGAATGCATTGCGAAAAGAGGGGTCTAAACCTCATTTGCATAGGACAGGAAGGCACCGGAATGATCCTGGTGACGTTAAACAGCTTGTTTTTCAGTGTGTTTGAGGTGTTGGGGTAACATTAATTAAATTACTATGGGTCGAATCTGACAACAAATAGAGAATGAATTTATTGGAATATGTGGTTTGTAACGTTATACTGATGCTGTAACGTTACAAACCACATGTTCCACGTTGAAAAGAACACAAACACTTCATTCTCTATCTGTTGTCAGATTCGAACAATAGTAATTTAATTAATGTTGGGTCGGCGGCAAAAGAAGACTAAGCGTAATACATGAAGTACGTCAGCGGATACAGGGAAACCAGCTGGAGATAGGTCCGTGGCATAACTCGCCTGTGCTTGGTAAAGGCCGGGGCCGAAAAATTACCGCCAAGCCGACCACAGGTTTGGTACCCGGGCTAATGGAATATTCGAGCGGAAAAGTTTCGGATTTTGGTTCAAAGGTTGGTTTCGTCTTACCCTGTTGCAGAGACAGCTCGCCTCCTCTCGGATTTTCTCCTCAATGCTGCCAGTTCCGACCCTCATGCCCAGGTTCTTCAGGACGGCGGTGGCGAACCTCTTTCTCTGTCTGAACTCGGGTCCCCAGCGTGCGCCAACTATGCCTGCAGGAACAAAAATACGTCTTGAACCTGTAATTCAGTATCATACATACCTCATCATGTATCTAATGTAATATCATCAATCAATCAATCAATCAAATGGTGTTTTATTCATTAAAAACGTGGACTTTGCAGCCAAGGGCTGAATTACGTCCAGTTGTACATGCAAATTCATTACACATTTATTTACACAGGTATTAACACAAATACCCACATCATTATTCACAACGTCTTTAACATACTGTGTCTTTAACATACTGTGTCTACGACAAACAGTGACTGCTCAAGAGATGGATCATATATGGGACGCTACTCTGTTTGTACCGGTCAGTTCTACATTTGGTAAGAGTCAGTTTATTACTGGAACGAGTGGTGCGCTCAGTGGTGGTGCCCCTCCTGGGCGGTAGCCAGTGTTGGAAGTCCTGTGATCGGAGAATTTTCCTAGCAAAATACATGCTGATGGTAGGACAGCAGCCGACCTTTACTGTCACAAGACTTGAAAAGTATCAACGAACGTCCTTAAAATGACCTTATTTTTGGCTGTAAACCTATTGCACGACTTCAGTGAGGAAAAGCGTATGCATATAATGAAATATAAGTTTACCTTTTCCAAAACCAAGAATCATATCAGCTAGGTAAATTGGCGGCCTGGAGGCGAAAAGCTCGGACCTGTCCACGAGCGCGTCCTTGACGGCAGTGTAGCCGTTCAGAACCACCACATCTTCCATCCCCATCCTGACGGTGAAGACGTCCCCGTACTGCCGCCTCCACGCCGTGAGCTTGAGGTGAGGCGCTCGGCCCAAGGCGAGGAGGTGCCCGAGAACAGGCACGCGTCCTGCCGGGTAGGGAGGCAGGTTTCTCCGGCGCTTCAAGAGGAAACATGCCAAGAAAAGAGCCGTGGAGAAAACGAGAAAAGACTGCAGAGTCAGCCCAGAGATCTGCAAAATCTCCCGGACGGACTCAGTTATCCAGCCGACGATAACGGCCATTTTTGTCGCTAACCTTATTTGCCCTCGCGCCTTTTGTCTTAAGTGAAGAAGTCGTCCGACGACTGGTATGATTACATCGATACAGCAGGGTCAAACGTCTCATTATCCGTCTCTTCCAGACAACTACCGGGGCATTTCCATAATCACCTGTTTGGGTAAATTGTTCTCGTCAATTTTAAACACTCGCTTAGTTAATTTTGCAGAAAACAATAGTCTTTTCAAACCCCACCAAGCAGGTTTTAGAAAAAAACTTTAGAACAACAGATAACCTATTTGTATTAAGTACCTTAGTCAGTAAGTATATTAGTAAAAAACTCTAGACTTTTTGAATGCTTTGTAGATTTTAGCAAAGCTTTTGATTCGATCTGGAGAAACGGTCTGCTCTTCAAATTGAACCAGTTAGGTATAAGGGGGTAATTTCCTACAAACAATCAAAGATATGTATTCAAAAACTACTAATCGTGTTAAATATAGCCACGATCTAACAGAGCTCTTCGTTACAACTCGCTGTGTTAAACAGCATTGTGATCGTAGATCAAAAGCAGCAAATGTGGGTCTAGTGTGCCCTGCTTGAAGTCTGTGGTCTACAATCAGGCCATACTATGTGTCCTTTTAGAGACAAAGAATTCGCGTCCTTGTGGTCTGACGCCACCGGAAGCTATCCAAGGCCAAAATGCAGTAGACAAAGCAGTTAGGGCACGCATGCATGAACTATGACCTGCATTCTTTACCTGGTGTAACCTCAGAAATATCGGTGCCTTTCTTAATGCATTTGTAAGGTAAAACGACTTTCAAAGTCATCTACATCATAAATGTATGTTTCTTGTTCATAACAGTTTTGTTAAGAAACGACAGGACTATTTACTGGTTTCCAACAAATTTTCCCAGGCGTGGAGAACTTAGATCCTACTATGTTTATTACCCATGAAGGTGTAATAATTGTAGATCTCCAATGAAAGCTTGTATTCCTCAATCCTCCCGTCTTTTTTTCTCATAATAACAGCATTTTCCACAGATATGTGTTTCCGAAGCAATGTGCAATGGGCTACCTGGAATATTTTTCACAGAATTTTTTTTTCAGAACCACACTGAAAATTAACAGACACAAGGAAAAGGGACGGAAAAAAAGAAAGGGACGACAAAAATGGTGAATACCAATGTACCAGGCTGTAACATTCACACAAATAAACAACTATTTGAGGCACTTGAAACATTTATTTCCACCACAAAACGTTTTGATAGTCCTTCCAGAGATATCACATTAAGTTAACCTCATATGATCTTCGTTATATACTTACTCACATATTGTATTATATTTAATTGTCCATGACCTCTGACCTCCAAAACAGCATATTATTATCTTGATTGAATACTTTATTCAAAGTTTATACTTTTAATTGATTGATTTTAGCTTAATGTCGTACTTGTTAGTCTATTGTATTAGTATGTTATATTGTGTATGTTAATCTTTGTACTGTTTGGCACCCGAAATCAGCTATGCTGCCTGGGTGGCCAGTGTATTGTCGTGTTACAATTGAATTAAAATAATACCAATGTAGGTTATACCATCCCGATGTTACGCTGAGAAACATCGAACTGAAGTTCTTCCCACCAAACACCACATTGAGACTTCAACATATGGATCAGTGTATTATTCAGACGTTGAAACTCAAATATAGGAAGCGTCAATTCAGGAGGATCTTGCAGGAGATACAAGACGACAAGGAAGCCACCAGTACGAGAGGAGAGACTCCGGTAGAGTCATGGTGGACATCAAGAGGCCAGATGCAGTACGCAGGTCGCCATCAGAAGACACCATCAAGTATTTCAAGAAGGCCGGCTTCTGTGAGTTAGTGATTCATTTCAAACAACATTGTTAAGATGCATTTGAACATAGAATATTTTACCTGTTCAGATTGTGTTGTGTTTTTTAATGTAAGAAATGCATAATTGCTGTGTTTGCAAAACATTCCGATTGTTTGGTATGACACAAAGGATGACACAAATTCATTGTTGTAAACACGTTGATGAATGAGTAACCAGGCAAATGTACAATTGTCTTTATTTTTTTGTTATTTTTTTATCGATGATAGGTGGCGCTCTGTAGCGGGCAGCCGCGGTTTCTATACCTCCGCCCTACAGTAGCGTCTACGGTGTCTTCAACCGTCTTTTTCTCATTGAAGTGCAATATAAGTGTTACTGTCTGTTTTGTAAGTCTCCGTACGTTATCCAAGGCGTTCGTTACCTAGTCGGAACTGTACTACAGAAGTGTTGCGAATGACTTGCTATGTCGGGAGTGATCAAGCCAACTTGGGTAATGGCGTCCACCGCAGTGCGACGATATTCCAGTGGATTCCTCCAGAGCCTGCGAGGTACGGCCATCCCGATGGATTCACTCACCAAGAAAGCCCTGCTGACTAATGGATTGCTTCGGAGGGGTAGTCCACGAGGAAACAAGGCAGGTAGAAACTTTCAGCGAAGTATTCCCACCATAGTCGGACAGCGCCCTCCCCAATCTCTATGGGACCGTTTCATATGTGTATATTTTTCTTTCTCTACAAGAAGGCACTGTATGTGTAATACAACATAATGCATGTTTTCTGGATTTTCTAAAAAAAATAGAATGTGTAAATATTTTTTCATATTTAAATGATGCACATGCAAATTTCTATTCTTTTCAAATCAGGGCGCCATGGTATTGGCTGCTGCAACTCCACTACAAAGGGACCAGACAGAAACAGTCATGGCAACCACAGAGGGCAAGAGAGAGGAACAGTGCCAGGAAGAGACGGAAGACGCAGCCGTTACAGCTGAGGTGCAGAGAGAAATGACAGAATCTGAACATCTGACAGAAGTTCTAAACATAGGGGAGGCTGACACTAGCTTGTTTGCAATAGGGAGCTTGATAAGTGAGACCATGGAGACAACACTATCCTTCCGGTCACTGCTGTCCCTAGAGACAACAGAGACAGCCCCTGAAAGTCCATCGACATCCTTCCAGACACCACCATTCCAGTCTACACCATCCTCATCACTGCAGACATCTTCAAGATCACGAACACCATCGCCTCTTCCACCAAGGTCACCATTACCATCACCCCAGCGATCTCCTCCAACATCATCATCACCCAGTCAATCTCCGAGGGCGTCACCATCACACCGTTCAGCGCCAATGTCCATGGAGGAAAGGATTTCAAAAAACGAAAGAGACATTCGAGAAATTTTGACCATACTGAAAAATCTGCAGAATGGTGCTGCCACACCTATTACGCACACACCTACCCGCCCACGCACCGCTCCAAAGAGGAGAGTTCCGACGACTGACCATCGGAGGTACATGTTGTCAAACGAGGAACTGGAACATTCGTACCTAGCATAGATGCCGGGCGAACAAATACCCCTCTATTTGCATTGCACTGCGCCCGGCAGATGTTCAGAGGGGGAGTTCCTCCGGTGCAACGTAAATGGTTCTATGGGCAGACAGAAACTGGACGAACTGAGAATGGACAAAATCAAAGACTACACAGCAAAGTATTTCAACCTCAACACAAGCCACGAGTTGAAGGTGGCCTGGAAAGCGTGCTGTGAGAGCATCAACACGTGGGCCAGAACAGTGAGGACACAGCATGGCCGCATTAGGTAGAAACAAACTATCAATCCAACATCTTAACCCTTGTCCTGCTGGCATTTTCTACACAATATTCTTAAAAAATTGAGGTCTTAAACAGGTCATAGTCCCCTGACATTTTTTGCCTTGCGGTGGCATAGTTACTTCCGAATTCGTTGCGTTTTGCTGCGGTGTGATGCGTTGCACAAGAAATACCCCCAAATCGTACCTATACATAGTGCTATATAACAATTGTTGGGCTCCGCAGGACTTAAGATACTATTACATTTTGTAACATCATACACATAGTGTAATGATTCATTGATTGTAGCCAGTAGTTTAGTTTTCATTCTTGTTTGTAATTTCTTTTCTTTAAAATTTGTACCTCTATAATAAACTGATAGTTGTTAGCTTGAAAAGTGGAAACATCATATTGTTGGTAAATATGATATTGTTAGTAAAATCTAGTTTTCCCAGTTCTGTACAGCCTATTTCCTACAATGGAAATGTTTCACTGATATTATGATCGCATACTGTAGTTTAATTTTCATTCTTGTTCTTTTCTTTTACATGTAGTTAAAATGTGTACCCAATTCTTTTCTTTTACATGAATGTACCCAAAAATAAACTGATAGTTGTTAACTTAAAGTGGAAACATTATGATATTGTTAGTAAAATCTCTAAGTTATCCCAAGGAAAGGAGCTATTGACACTAGTTCTGTACAGCCTAATTCATTGTAAAATAAACTGATGGTTCTTTGTTTGAAAAGTGAAAACATTATGATATTGTTTTTTTAGTTGTCATAAGGAGTTTCATACAGATTTTTGAACCGCCTTGATTTTCCCTACATTTTCTTACTTTTATGATAGAAGAGTCCTTTGGTATTCTAATTCGCCCATCATACATCAATAAACGTACAAAGTGAAGCTAAGTGTTACACAACTTCTTCAGGCCGCCTCACCTTCCTTTTGCTAAGGTGGTGTCAGGAATCAAATGACAAAACCAACATAGCCATGACCTCAATTTGGGCAGTTAAAAAAACTTGGAGGAAAAAGACGTACAAAATTATACCTTCTTGAAGCCCTGGTTCCAATTCAGATTTTGCTCAAACCCTGCCCCCTTCTTGAAGCCCTGGTTCCAATTCAAATTTTGCTCAAACCCTGCCCCCTTCCAATCCCGTCCAGTTTTTTTTTTTTAGTTAGGCCATGTTGATTCGACGTCGAGGATGAAGATAACCCCGTGTCCTTTATGAGAGCGGAGCCGCTTCTAGCCATGGTTTCCTGTGGTGACAGTAGAGCGCTTGTTGGGACAACAGCACGTCAGCGGTATCTTCACTGCCTCACCTGCGACTGTGCAGTGGCGGCGGCAGCGCCCCCCCCCCCCAAAAAAAAATCATGCCGAAACCCCTTTGTATTTTTCCATTAAAATCCACCGCAAATGCCGATACAGAATAGCAGCGAGCG